GGGGGTGCTTGGCCAGTCTGGGTGAGGGGATGAGAGCCGTTTTCAGGCTGGCCTGCGACTGAAGCCCCCAGACTCTCCTTTTTTTCTTTATTCTGGGATTTTTTTGCCTTCTATAATTGAAACTCTATTGCTGTCACTGGCATTCCCAGCTCTGAGGCCATGGCCAGCTGAAAGCAGGTATCTGGAGTTTGTTTGGCTTCTATAATTGAAACTCTGTTGCCATCACTGGCGCTCTCAGCTCTGAGGCCGTGGCCGGCTGAAAACAGGTATCTGGGGTTTGTTTAGCTTCTATAATTGAAACATTGTTGCTTCCGGAGCTCAGAGCTTGGCTGCGGCAGGCGGGGAACCTTGGCTTCCTCCTCACTGGAGCAAGCAAACCTCCTGTTTGCTTCAGCTGTGTGGCTGCCGGCCACCATCTTGATTGGCAGTTAATTTGCATATCCTGCTGATTAGCCAATAGGAAGCGTAGAGGAGGTCTGGTCAATTACCATGTTTGTCTATTATTAGATAGGACTAGAGGCCCAATGCATGAAATTCATTCATTCATAGGCCTGGCTGGCGATCAGGGCCAATCTGCGGGGTGACCAGTGGGATGATGGGGGTGGCCCTCCCCTGGCACTCACCTTGGCTGGCTTGGGGCCTGCAGGCTGGGGGTAGCTCCTGTGTTGAGCTTATGCCCCCTGGTGGTCAGTGCACATCATAGTGACTGGTTGTTCCACTGTTCAGTTGATTTGCATATTAGGCTTATATTATATAGGATTGGAGGAATACAACCAATTAATAAACATTAAAAATATAATTTTAGGCAGTAATGATTCATATGACAGTTGTGAAATAGAATACTATTATAGAAAGTAATTGGGGCAGGTAAAGGATGAGGTTAATGGGAAGGCCACTTTACATGGACAGCCTGGCCACAGAATAGAAGAAAGAAGTTTCACATTTTTAGGGATTATTGCTGTGACTGTTGAAATACAGTAAATTACCTTTCTCTATGCAAGGGTAATGTCTTGTTAACCTAGTTTCTCTCCAGGAATTTTTTTTCAAACATTAGCATGCTTTTTTTTCCCCCTTGGGAATTTTATAGAGAAACATCAATATATTCTTTTACTCTCAACTATCCAATAGACATAGGCAAATTAACCTGGGTTGTATTTTTGTTTGTTTGTCTATTTTGAAGTTTACCATTTCTTTCTGTACCACGAATTGTTAACATTTTGGAGATCATTTTTCTTGGAAATATTTTTCTCATGTTTTCTGTTTTAAACCCTTTTATTCAGAATCCAGGCATTTCTCGCAACGAGACCAACTATCTCCCATTCACCACAGGGCAGGAAAACAATGTATTCATCAAATGGCCTAACAGCAGTGACATTGTCTGGGGAGAGGTAAGAATTGGGAGGAGATGCCTGTAATTAATCAGCCTCACAATGTTTTGATTGAAAGAGGCCCTTCATAAATCTTAGCAAAATGTATTGGGTAATTTATAAATTATGAACGAGTAGAAATCTGTGTGATACTGATTACTTAACAAACATTCATGAGACCAAGGTCAAAGGTCTAATCCTCTATCAGTGAGTTATGTTTTTATTGCCTGGAAATATTCTGGCATTCCACCCCTTATGTATGCCAGCTAGTCATTTAACACCCATAAATAATACCTTTGAGAATGGCTCTGAAATCTATGTCTCCCTGTCACCCATACCCAAGATGTGTACTCATCTTTGGCCTATGATGCTTAATCAGCCGTCATATTTAAATGAATCAATAGATCTTATGTATTATCCTCCTTTGTTTGTCTCCTTTAATTCCTTTTTTGGGCCCCAGTTTTTTGGCTTATGGCAACAAGATTCGAGGTGATACTTGTCTTTCTTTAACTGGCTTATTTTGCTTAAAATAATAATCTCCAGGTCCATCCATGCTGTTGCAAATGGTAAGAGATCCTCCTTTTTTTACAGCCACATAGTATTCGAGTTTCAATGAATTGTCCACATGTAAACCAGTTAAAAGGAGTAATGTCTTTCATCTCAGCACTTGATGTCACATCAGCTTGTAGCTCACTCTGTAGCTCACTTTTCCCTGGATGATTGGTCTCCTTCATTTGACCAATGTAGCAAAACCATCTGCAGCTCTAAAGCCTACTCTGATCTCTTGGTGTCCACAGTAAATTCTGTGAAGCAGCAGCAAAAGTGGGTTAGGTCTCACAGTGGTGGCGGGGGTGGGGGACAGTACTTTGCACAAGCACCTGTTTACCTCCCCTTCCTAGTCCACACACGCCCCTTCCTGAACAGGCTGAGACCCAGTGTGAGAATCTGTGTTACTCTTCCAGCTGTACAAAGTCCACATCGCTTATCCTGATTTCCTGCGTAACAGCACAGCTGCTTGGTGGAAGGAGGAAATAAAAAAGCTCTACACAAGCCCAAAGAGCTTGAAGTTTGATGGACTGTGGATCGTAAGTACATCCTTAGCGTGTTTTCTTTGGAAGTGCTAGAAGTACAAGCATGAGGAGGCAATTCAGAAACTAGCAAAGTAGATAGCTAGGCGTGGAGGAGTGAAAAAGAGGGATGCTGGTACAGAATGAAGGTACTGGGACCACCAAGAGGAGCAGAGGGAATTGTAGGTCTGCCCAGGCACATATTGGGTAGAGGACGTTGGAGACTAATGGGGAGACATGCCACCACTAGAGACGATGCCAGATGAAAAGGCACAAATATCCTGTCTTTTCTTAGCTCCCATCCTCTAATCTCTTGCCACTGCCTCCCATTGGCCAAACCTCCCCAGAAGCCAACAGTAAGGGAGCCTGAGAGACCATCTGCGATACAGCAGACCTAGGGGCAAGAAGGCCTGAATCTGAGGTGAAATAGATGCTCACCACAGTGCTGGTAGGGAGTCATCCGAGGGAATGGCCTCACAGGCCTGTTCAGATATTTGTTATGCATGTCAGGTGGGCATAAGACCAGGGCTTCCTGAGATGTCTCTGGGACATGTGTCCAAGGCTCTTCTATTTGTGTGTCTCGAGGGATGGGAGGCATAGCAGCATCCCAGTTTCCTTTCCCACGGAATCAATGAAGCAACCAGCTGTGTGAGAGTTTAAATAAGATCCTTTTGTCTCTAGGAGGGCAGTGTTCTCCTGAGCCAAGGCCACTCTGTCTCCTCTGACATCATGGAATCTGTTTTGCTAATTCATTTCAGGATAAGAATGAGCCATCAAACTTTGTGGATGGATCTGTCAGTGGCTGCCGTGATGAAATTCTTAATAAGCCACCGTATATGCCATGTATGTAAAATGATTGCTTCCTTAAATTACTGCCCTGCTCAAAACCGCTTACGTTTTCCTCTTGTTGTCAAAGTGAAGCCTCATTTTGGAGAGGGAAAACACTCTTAAACATGAGATAAAATCCCAAATAGAATAACCTTGAATAAGTACAAATAAATAAATTATGGATCAAGCATAGAAATAATGACTTGATGTGGTATGGAAGAATCCAAGCAATGAATGGTGCATCTGATTACATCGATAACTATGAACTGATTGCTAAAATTTTAATTAACCCCCTACACACACACACACACACACACACACACACACACACACACACACAACACACCCTTTTGATTAGAGAATGAAAATCTAGTTCCTGCACTCTCTCTGCCTGTGTTCACAGACACTTGATGAAGGGCATGCCCAGGTTGTCCTGTGATACAAACAGCAATAGAGACTACAGGACCTGGGGATCAAAGGCATCTCAGAGAGTTGAACTCTCTCATCTTACAGAAACATGAGAAGGAAGTGACTGACCTTCCTACAAGCACTATACCAGTAATTTTTGGGATGAAATCTGGAATCCAAGTTTTTAAATGTCTACCTCATTGCTATGTTTCCTATTGTTTGGTAATTCCCCTCCCTCCCCCCTCCCTTCCTTCTTTCCTACCTTCCTTTTCCTTCCTTCCTTATTTTCTCATCTTCCCTTAATGTAATATTTGTGTATCAGGCAAGTATTGACAAATCAGAATGATTTAGCAACATTAATATAAAGTTGGTTGAAACAAGATTCATTCCCTTGAGAACATTACCATCTAGTGGAAGATACAGTCATAAGACAGAGAGTGTATGATGATGATAAAGGGGCATGAATCATACTCTATAAATGTTAGAGTTGGAGCATAAAGAAGGATGCCTTTACCAGCTCCATTGCCTGCCCTTATTCTTCATTAGTTACAAGGTCACAGAACATTATTGTTTTTATTAGACAAAAGAAATTCTTGAAATTGGAGCTGCTACTGGTGATAAAGGTGTTTGAAATAGAACCATGCCAAGATGATGGGCATTTCTAGTGACTGTGCAGATCAAGTTGTTCAGAATGTAACTCAGCATTTCCTCTTAGATTTGGAGTCCAGGGACAGGGGTCTCAGCAGCAAGACCCTGTGCATGGAGAGTGAGCAGATCCTGCCCGACGGCTCCCGGGTGCGGCACTACGATGTGCACAGCCTGTACGGGTGGTCCCAGACCAGACCCACATACGAGTGAGTATGCTTAGTCACTGGCAGCAAGGGTCATTTTCCACACTGTTACTTTTGTCTTGTTATATATAAATAAATAAATTATATATATATTTAAATGGATGAATGTCAAAATAGCAGGAGTGGTTTCCTAAGCAGCCACACCACTTCTGAGTTGTATTAACCAAGTAGGTTGCTAAATTCACCTGTTTAAAATGTGCAGGTACACATGTGATTTCACTTTTATGTGGAATCTAATGAACAAAATAAACTAACAAACAAAATAGAAACAGACTCATAGATACAGAGAACAGACTGACAGCTCAGAGGGGCGTGGGGTTGGGCTGAGTGAAAACTATGAAAAGATTAAGCAAAAACAAAAAAACGAAGCTCATGACACAGATAACAGTGTGGTGATGA